TCAATGTAGAGTATGTTTGATCATGAGGCTTCAACAGTTTTAATTCCCCCCTAATTGATTTGACCAATTCACCCCCATTGCTATAACCTATTATCCCCTCAAGTCCTTAAAATCTAAATTACAATCCCCCAAAAACAGCATAGTCATATTGAAATCTCAACATGTATGTTAATTATTAGCCAGTGGTTACAGATCTTTATTTAAAGGCAAAAACAGAAAAAAAAATCTGGATGGTAGGCTGGCCTGTTGGGCTCTTAAATTCCAGAGTATAATTTTTTTAAATTTTATCATTCTGAATGATAAATTAAAATCCGATGGATTGTAATGACTACTTAAATCTCTCTATGCCTCTGATTAAGATAAATTAAAAATTTATTAGAAATGGGGAATGGAGGGAGAGACTCTACCAGTTCAGCATTGATTGAAGCAGATGACCGAGCAAACTCATATGGATGTATTATTGTATGAATGGTCTTCATTTATTGTTTATGTCTGACTGTTGGCGAGAGCAAAAACTTCCCTGAAGGCCCATTCTACTTTAGGCCTTGGCACCGCAGAGAGCTTATTAGTGGTTGTGAGAGCAATGTTACTGGGAAAGGATGATTGTGTCAATTCAAGACTTCAATGATTCCTGTCTTTCTTGTGCTAGCCAGAAACCTCCAAATCTGACTTATCAACACCAAAAGGGTCTAGTGCCCACTTTTCTAGTGTCAGAATTGACGTTATTAGTCTGCTCACTACGGAAATGTATGGCAATTAATACATCATACTAGCAGTTGTTCACTTCACAAAATGTGGTGATGCCACTCATTTGCCCTTTGCACACATCCAAAAGCGACTGGATCCTTCTTAAGTAAGCAGTTATTTACACCCACAGTGTCCCAAAGGTATTTTTATCAGATATTAAACCTACTTTATCTCAATTATTTGCTGACCTTGATTTGTTGATGGGTACTTATCACTCCTTCACTGTCCCATAACATCATGATAACAACGGAGCAGTGGAAAGAGTGAATGGTACTTCAATCGCTATCCTCTGCAAGATGACTCAATCTGACCCTTCTAGATGGAATAATATACCTTCTGGTGGCTCTATTGGCATATCGCGTGAGCTACTATTGAGTTATCCAGTTTTTCCCTGTTGAATAGTTGACTGGACCTAAATCATTAGGTAATTTAATAGGAGAAGTAATCATATATGCTGATGCTAATATATTATGTATCATTTCAAAATTATCAGTGATTATGGTTTAAAGTATCTAAGTATATTTAAAACTTGGGATCCGCAGCCTAGTGGTTCCACTTAATTATTTGACTAGATGACATAGGCATGGGGACTTTGGTAATTAAGCAGTACTTAATAATATTTGGCTTGATGACCTGGGCTCATGCGCTTTGTTGGTCTATGTCAAAATAAGCTCTAATGTTGATTGAGTTTCAATCTAATTAATTAATTAGTGGTACAAATCGCCTTGTATGTGCTACCAATTGCTTGAGAGGAGCGACGGTTTAGCTATTGCCAGACACAACAGAGGAAACGCTGTCTTGAGATAACTTTCAGTTAACCACTGACCCTGAGGCCATGTGGATTTACCACAGATTCACATAGATTGTAAACCCTAAGACAAATTTATTGTGTTCCACTGGCTAAGTGCCAATGAGAAATGAGGTGTCATGGGTGAGGTGTGGTTAACATTGAACCTATAAATTACTGCAAGTTCGTACAATTAAAAAACAATCTTAAATCACTGCAAGCTAATAGTTTAATATACTTAACTTTTGTATTTAATACTTTTTCGTTGTTTAAAAGTAGAGAAATTACTTGGGATCAGAATGATCAGGGCAGTGAGCCATTATAAAAGTAAACAAAAAAATATTGCAGTATCAAAGTGTCATTTCCAAGGGCTTAGTATCTTGACTATTGTCACTGTCTGGTCTGTTGTCTCCATACAATAGGCGCTTGAAAATCCAACTTATCTAAGAAGAAGAACCATCCCAATTTAAGTAGGCCAAAGCTTCAACACTCCCTATTGAGATCTATGGGTGAGAGCTGATCTTACCCTCAAGTGTTCAGCCCAAATTAGAGAGACCTTCACGCCTGAAACAGCTGAGCTTTCTATGTGAAGGCTGGTGGATGAGTTTTTTTACTACAAGCTTTAGCCGCCAATTATATGGGGACTATAAGTAAATAAAACAAGGACAATACAACGCCCAAGAACCCGTTTATCTGAGTCCTATCTAATGTATCTTATCCTGTTGTACCATCACCAGTCAGGGGACCAGATTCAAAAACTTTATACAATATGGTCAGGACTTTATTAAGGATTTATTGTTGAGGAACAGGGTTCTCAGTTGCACCAGTCAAATTGGACTCCATTGTGAATAGAGTCCATGCTATATTTCTCTAAAGTTATGTCCCTCCTCAGCACGGTCTTGGAGGGGGGCATTGTCAGGAATGATGGTGTTTGCAATAGTTTGGGGAAGTTTTAATGCGAGGTATTTCTAAAATTGTCAATTGAATTCCACTGACGTGGAAGCTACCAAAGTCATTATAAACAATGAACGCCTAAATGAGCATAAAATCTGAATCCCTCTTGACTCCGTCAGATTATCTGGGAAAGATCTTGCCATTCAGAAATCTCCTGATTGTGTCACATTGTTCAGGAAAGATCATGCCATTTGGAAACCTTCTGATTCCACCACATCATTTGGGAAGGACCATGCCAATAAGAAATCACGGTACACTACATAATTTAAAAAATCTAACAAAATTGTAATTATCCCCAGATTTGGTCATTAAATATATATTTTTTCACATTGAACTTTTTTAGCTTCAACAAAAAATTTATTTTTGAATCTATGGCAAATATTTTCCTTGTCAATGACTTCAATTCCGCCAAGAGATTGCCCTAGATACAAAACGTCTGCTAGGAGATTTGCTGATGCTACCTTGACTATTAATCATGTATCCTTCAAAGGAACTGACTTCAAAACTAGAAAAAGTACTAAAAGTTCCCTAACAGTTCTACATTCTTCTGCGTCAGCTTCCACTGGCATAGAGGCAATGATAGATGGATTCTCTTGTGGGGAAACATAATCATTATATAATGAACCATTGTTACTAGCGTATCCAAGTCTGCCACCTTCTTGGTATGTATAGTGTTATTCAGTGAATTTCTCAGCCTTTCCTATATAAAATTACAATACAAATCTTTTTTTTATTCTCATCCTTTTAATATCATAACGGAGTTATTGGAAATTGCCTTTTTCTGCATCTAATTCTCTCTACTCTGCCATAAAACATCAGAAAAATCATATATAAGTGCCTTTTTAAGAAAAATTGTTTTGAAATCAACATTATGAAGTTGGATGTTGCTTTGCTCAACCATTATAGGAGAAAAATATGTTTAAGGCTTAATATTTCATTAGCCCAGCACGCAATAATGCAGTTCTGATTCTGGCATACTCTGATGCACAGTGAATGGTAGAGTTAAAGTCTATCTCATATTAATTTTATTTAACTGAGGCAAGCTGACCAGGGGACAGGCATTACTGAAAGAAAGAAAGAAATGACATGAAACCTGAACAGGGTCAACTCCATCAAAGAAAGTTTTTCCACCTCCGGATCAGGACTCAAATTTTTCTGGTTACATCATGGGTAAGGTTTTCGTGTTATTAGACCTACTAACCGCCAATAGCTTCCTTCAGCTGGCACCCCAATCGATGTGCAAAGGGCGGGAATCGAACCTGCAACCTTCAGGTTGGTAGCCGTACGCCCTTACCAACTCAACTTCCACCCCTAGCTCATATAAAGTTCTTATATGGAATCTAGTTGAGCCTGGCGATTCATAAATTGTCCAAATTCAGTAGTTTAAGTGAAGCTGGGGTTCATAAACACTGTCTATTTTATGCAATGCATCTCTCAGAAAAAGTTTTTCAACATTGGCTGATGCTACTTCTTTTAATTAGAAGAGGCGGCGTTTGATAATATGAGCTTGATCTTGTAGATGCTACAGTGGAATTATTCAGATCATAAAACCAGTCTTTTACTGAATAAATTGTTTATTAGTAGCGCAAAGCGTGTAATGCTGTGTATCCATCAATAGTCAAGTTATATGAGTTAAGAGGTTGACCATGACTCATGGAAGCTCACGATTTAACTGTGGGACAAGTTGAGTATTATTTCCAAGTGCTTATGATAAGCATTTTAGGGTCTAAATTGTTACATTACAAACAAAAAAAGCGCCGTTGAGACATTCCAGGAGGAGGAAGTTGACATTCTGTTTATCTTGGGAGAAACCCATTATGTCACTAGTATTGATACTGAGGCAGGCTAGTATTTGTAAAATTTTGATAATGGACAGCTAAACATAAATGACAAGATACTTCAGCTATACTGCTGTGAAATAACCCTTCTAGTGAGTCCAGTTGTGGTTGATTCAGGGTAAGAATTATATATAACGTTTATCTTGATAACTTTGACGCTGAAACATGCCAATTTTTTTATTAGGCTCTAAGCGCACAAGAGGTATCTTCTAAGGAGCCATTACATTATGTGTCTAAGCTTCTTATGAGTGACATTGTTTGTTCTCTCTTTCTGCAACAATTCTAATTCAATGAATTTTGGTAGTATTATTTCTATTAATATGTTTTTCTGCTCAGAAAGGGTCTCCAATGTGAATATTGGTGGTTTATCTGAAGTCTACACAGTTCCTCTGAATACTTTGCCTTAAAGCTCACTGTGTCTTGGCAGAGACTGTGAAAAAACTTCTGTTGAAACTGGAAGGAGATGACATAATTCCAAATTGATAAAAAAAGACTTGATCTATTGGATTAGTAAATCCTTTGTAGTAAGCACCACTATCAAAATGCTTTGGTAGTAGTTTACTTGATTAAGAATCTAGCAGAATGGAGCACATGGTTCAGGCACACTAATATAATGAGAAAGCAAAATTTAGTTTTCTTTCTTTGAAACAAACACACAAAGATAGAAAGTAACAGCAATAGAGGAATATCTATGTTTAAAACATAACACAATGCTAATCTCTTTAAAGTTAATAAGGAAATCTACTCTAATACATTAAGTCTTTACTAAATCTGAGTCTGCTTTTGATACTCAAAAATCTACTATATCTTAACAATAAGCTACTAAATACCCATTGTCAGTTTTTATACTTTCTAGTAAAACTAAAACCCAAGCCACCTAGCCAATCGCCATTTTTTAGTAAACAAGGCGGGTTGACCTTGGAACAAATATACCACGCCAAGTTTTATTTTAGCCTGTGCTGATTTCAAACTTGTGTCAATTGTTCAATCACCATATTGTCATATGTTTCTTGAGGTCTGGCGTTTTCTTGGCTCCTTTCTGGGACAATAGTTGCTGGCAGAATTAAATATTTATGCTCTCATCAAATAAGGTTAAATTGTGAGGGAACTTTTGACAAATCCTTTTTTATCTGTAGGTTATTACATCAAATTACACTAATTGTATTCAATGATCCATTAGAGCTCTAATTCTTCTTGTAAATTATTTTTATTTATAAGTCAAAAAGTCTGATTAGTCCACATGGATCCATCTAAAATTCTAAGCTTTATTTCTCAGTCAAACCAAATTTTTTTCAGAGACCACTTTATTAGCCATTATTAAGTATTTCAATGACACCATGGTACACATTGGAATGCACTTTGAGGGTTATCTTAGTTTAAGAAGTGGGCTGCACATAGGGTAACTACTTACCATTACTAACTTATAAAGAATGAATTAGATGATCTGAGTATTCTATGTCATTGTTTAATTCAGCTATCATCTTTGATGTCTCCAGCTCTTATCTTTTTGGGCCTTGCCAATAAAAGCATATAGGCTGTCCACTTTAGGAATCAACATGGTTTATATTGGCATACATGATAATTCATCTGCATTCTAGTAATTAAACTAGCGCAATGAATTATTTTGGATTCTCTTTCTTCAAGTAATATGTCCATATTGCCAGCCTCCTATCAGGGTCCTTCATCTGCTGTAACCACTCGAGGAGGGCATGGTCCTTGATGATAGTGGGGTGGCCCCATACAAGTAAAGACAATTTTTTAATACCAAGGAGCACAGCCAAGCATTCTTGTTTGGAGACCCTATAGTACTGCTTAGCTTTGGAAAGGGTCTACAGAATTAGACCACCAGATAGTCCACTTATTGATCGTCTAGTTGAGCTAGTATGGCACCCACAACCATATCACTAGCATAAGTAATTAGCACTAAAAGTTGATCAAAATCAAGGGTGAATGGGAAGAGGTTATGTAACTAACGCAGTACTAAGGAGATCAAAGGTTTAGTTTTGCTTGGGTTCTACTCAAAAAAGGACCACTTTCTCAATTAAATATACTGCGAGTTTATTACAGCTAAAAATATGATATGAATTTTTGTGATTGGCTTCTTCCCAAAGAAAAATTTAATGCCTCTTAAACTATGAGAGGACAATCATAGATTGTAGTGACTATGTCTGGAATGGGCTGCGTCCCTCGTTTTATAACCTAATTCTCAAGGAACTCCTTTCTTGCAAAAGAATAAACATTTTAAAGACTTAGTTTTTGAGGGAAGCACGCCTTAACTGATTAAAAACCTCGCAAAGATGTTCAAAAGGCCCATTAAAGGTTTTTGAGAGAAATGTAATGTCATTGAAGTTGAATAAAGACACAATAACTTAGAATCATCTAGAAGTCCATCTATTGACTTCAGGATACCCATTTAGCCGAGGCCTTAACTCAAGAGCTTGTAGTTTATGACTCAAAGATTATAGTCAATCTTATGGAGGTCAGGGTCATCTTCTAAGCTGTGACGACTAAAAATGAATGAGAGAATGTAATTAAAATATGATCTCATAAATATGTATAAAATTAGGAATGCCTTAGTAAATTATAACCTGCTAATATTTATAGGTACATTTGTAACCTACAACAGTAGGATTGTTTAGGTTGTCCACATTTATGGTCTTTTTGGTAATTCTGGATCAAGGGACAAACAATGGCTTTTGGTGTTCTCTATCGCCTGTAGCATAGTGACCTTTTGGCATTGAGATTAACAATTTAGTCGCTGGGAATTAGGAAGCTTCCTGTAAGTCCTGAAGAACGTCCCCTTTGCATGGATCAGGCGATTTTCCCATTTCCAAATAAGAAGGGTCCAATGAGGGCGGCTGTAACCCTTGCCACCCAGGGCGACCTCACCCAAGTGGTAGACAAGCGCTTAGTAACAGCACTCCCTCTGAAGACTTCTCCCCAGATCCCATGCTATCTCCACCAAACTTGTCCACCAAATTGAGGAAATCTGTGCCAAAATCATCAGTAACCATTTTTCCCATGAGTAGGAGGGACTTTATAAAACTGATGGGCTAAATCCTCAGAATCAAAAACAAAATGCCCAAATCAATGGAAATAAAGCCTGATGGGCGAAAACTATTAGTTGAGAAGGGACAACTATCATATTCTCAACTGGAATTGCCAATGGCATTGAGCCATTGAGCATTATGATTGCTGACGCCAAATGCCCCTCAAAAATTATTCGGGACAATCCCTGATGAGCAGGTTTACCATCAGGGACTGTCACAGATAATTTGAAACATCCAATTCAAGATTCAGGATTGGTGCCCAATATAACCCATTTGCCTAAAGAATTCCCCAGCAACTGGGCACGGGTGGGTTGGCCATCCTGAACCCGTTTCTGACCCATTGGGACCACCCCTATGAGGGATGGCCCTGGGGGGATTCCCAATGCTCATTGGGCCAGATGCCATCACGCTAACTGATGTAAATGTAGTGGAGCCTAGGGTCAGGTGTTCATGGATGAACTGATAGCGACTTAGCCTGCCGCTTAATCATTTGATGTCATTCAGATTAATATCATTTTCCCCCACCCCCAATTATTCGCCAGGTTAGGTCAAATTTGAGGGCCCCAATCCCTGCTTTGACAAGCTGACCTTAATCAAACACTATTTATTCAGTTGTGTAGCACTGAGAAAATTGTTGGTCAATTCTTTAATTTACTTCTAATAAATTTTCTGCTAGAACCCAGTTTTTTTATTTTACTTCAATTCTTTTTGCCGAAGTCCTGATGGCACTAACTTGGTGGCCTGTTGGCCTCTACACTGAATGGTATATATCAATTTTATTGATTACAATCGCTCCCACCATAGTCAATTGGATACATCTTACAAGAAATTTCTGGGATATTTTAATCTTGTTAATAAAGCTATCCACTATCAGGATATCGGAATCCTGTGGCCTCATATATCTCATCTTCAAACAAGGATCCTCCCCCTTGTCTTTTCTATGGTGATGAACCCTTCCACTTAAGATCACAAATTAGTTAATCCAGTAGTGCAACCCCTGCAGCAAGGGCCGCAGGGTCTGGGGCTGTTTCATTTTGGTTCATTACCATGTTTCTTTTCATGCTCATCTTGCATTAATGAGTCATTTTGCCCAATTTCCTGCACCATACAACGTCATTCAAGCAGCAATGCCAATGGCATTCTGGATTGCTTTTTGGGTGCTTACGCATCCCAACTGGCAGGACGGCCTAAACTTCCTATGCTGCCTTCCTGACATAAGCGACCAACCATTGTTTCCTGCCATTTCCGCCCTTCTCTTCGAGTTAGGTGCCGCAGTGGTTACCCTTTATCAAATGTTCGTGCAGGCAGTAGTTTATTTTATGTAATTTGTTTAGTCAGTCCCTGAATTTGTGAGCAGTGTTCGCAATGCCTAGGAGATACTTCTTCATGGTAGCAGAGCCCTATGGATTGCTTCTCTTCCCTCAACTT